ACATAAAGATACAATAACCAAATAGTAACTACAAACAATGTTCAGTAATGCCCACTAAATTTTGAAAAACAGCAAAATATAAAAGAGTATAAAATACATTTCTTATCCCTATTTTTTAAAAAAAAGATCTTTTTGGTTTTGTTATTGCTATTTTTATAAAAACAATATATATATGCACTCTTCTGTATATTCTTTATAAAAAACTGACAAGTACAGAAAAACACAAAATTAAAATTCCATGTCATACCATCAACAAAAATGTTAGAACAAAGACCACAGAAATCAGGGAGGACCTAGGAAGGACCTCCAGCTTCAGGGTCTTCTGATACCAATTCAACCACTCAAAATCCACAGGCTAAATTTCTTTTTAAGGTCTCAGATATCTCTACTGTTACCCAGTACTCCTGCACTTTTTCCTGTTGTTGTTAAAAACCAGGCCAACAGCAATTAATCAACAATGATGATAAGTAAGGCTAGGACTCTAATCTAAACCTTTTTGTTTCTCAAATTTTAAAGCTGGCAGAATCTTAGAAGTCCCTTTAGTCTGATCCACAATGCCTATCTCCATTTATTCGTGAGGTAATAGACATGGAGAAATTACATGATTTGCCGAGGCATCACAATTGAATAGGATTAAAAAAAAAAAAAATCATCTAACTGTCAGCCAGGGGTAGGAGTGTGAACACACTGCAAACGAATCCACAGGTCAGAGGGCTACAGTCATTATGTGGTTAGACTATTTATGAGCCTGGAAGGCAGTTCACATTAATCTGAATGACCAGACAAGAGCAGTAAGGCAAACTTCTGGTTCCTAACAGTTAAGTTCATTGGCTCTAGGAAGACAAGTCACAAATAGATCAAGTAGCCAAATGAAGGCGTGCGACATGGCCTTCTGATCACAGGAGAACTGTTTGAGCCCCATATTCCAGTGAGAGGCAAGCGTGGTTGTCACAAGAGCCCTTTTTGAGTGATGCACTCCAGGGCAGCATGGAAGGTAACAGTGTCCACAAGAGCCTCCCAAGAGCATGAAGATCAAAATAAAACTGTCAAGTCAGCGAGATTCCCTCTCCAGTCAGTAGACCCAGTCATCTGCCCTTGGGTCCCAATCCAGCTCAGTGGTCCCTAGAATCTCATCACCCCCTTCAAGGGTGTCTCCTCACCTCTAAAACTTTTGTCTTTGACTAAGTGAATCTTTACTGATTAGGAGAGTTAGTCTAGGAATGTTAAGGTCACAGATCAATCCTTTCTGATCAATCTAGGCCATTCAAGTCTTTAGAAGATATCTCTTCACCCTCATGTAGGCAATTTTGGGCAAATGTTCTTTATTCTGGAAGATCTTAATCCTAAATATAAATTTTTACAACTAAGACCATTTCTTCTTTGCTTCTTCCTATGTTATAACACAAGTGAAGAGTCAGACTTGTATTGCCTGTTTTCAAGATGCTTGTCTGCAGATGAGCTCTTTCAACTGTGCCAATCTGTCACTTTTTAGAGCTTCCCGGATGGAACAGAAAAATCCAAAATAGTGTTCAAAGTTGTGCATCATAAGCAGGACCCCAGCCAGGAGCTCATTGGTTACCAGCAAATGGTGAATATATGCACGGGTATGATTCTTACAGCAGTAACAGGAACACCCTCTCACAAGTGGGTTAAAGTCCTCCTGGTACCTGAGAAAGGAAGTTACAATGACAGTCCAGAAAGTGAAGGATATAAGAAATTCACGACCTAAGCTCTCTGTTCTACTGATAGGGCTGCCAGGGGTGATCCTCCAAATGTTCAGTGGTGGGCACCTGCTCCACATGGCAATGTGGGAAAGAGTTAACATAATGAGTCATGGTGACTCAGGAGTTTTCCTCTAATGGATGCAATCTGCAAGTCTGGGGATTAAGAAGTTCACATGGGCTGGGCTCACACTTGTAACACTAGCTACTTGGGAGGTGGAGATCAGGAAGATAGAGGTTTGAGCCCAGCTTGGGCAAAACTTGTGAGACTCCATCTCAATCAATAAAAAGCCAGGCATGGTAGTGCATGCCTGTGATCCCAGCTATGGCAGGAAGTATAAATAGGAGGATTGGGGTTCAGGCCAGTCAGGCATAAAATGAGACCCTATTTGAAAACTAAGTAAAGCGAAAAGGGCTGGGAAGTGACTCAAGTGGCAGGGTAACTGCATGGCAAGTGCAAGGCCTTGAGTTCAAACCCCAGTGCCACCAAAACAAACAAAGTAATTGGAAGGAGTAAAAGACAATAAACAATGGAATCGGTCTTCCTGACATAAGAGCTTTTCTAAAGTAATAGGTACCTAGCCTTAGTTTTCTGACAAGACAAAATATATAAATTCATCTGCAGAAAAAAAGAAGTTTTTCTTGAACCAAATTTGAGAAGGCCTAAGTAATATCCAGCTATAAATATTTTATGAAGTTATAAACTGAAAAGGGAACAGTTACATAAACTTTTAAAATAGACTAAAATTAAAAAGTCAGAAATCAAAATCTAAACTTACAAAAATTTCTTACTTTTTTTCCTTCAGATTAATTTCAAATGATGTCATTTCTTGGTTACAACCAGTTGTTTTAATTTTCTTTATTTGATCCACGCATTTAATTTCTTCTTGTATCCCATTTTTTTGTAATACTAAAGGAAAAAACCAATAAAAAGTCTTGAATGAAGATCAGATAAAGAGTAGTCGCTGGAAGAATTTAATTTTAGCTATTATTTCATGCCCTTTGACTGTGTAATTCCACTCTTGAAATTATCCTAAGGAAATCACACAAGAAAAAAAAATAGCAACATGTTCCCAGATGGCCACAGACCTATTATCCTAAAGATACTCAACAATGTCTAAGCTAATTATGGTAACAAGTATATAACATATAATCTTACCATCAAGGAATGTTTAAAACAGTTAATATGTACGTGTATGTTGGAGTTTCCCTATGCCTTATCACAATGCACATGCAAACAAATTGGGCTTTGTAACAGCCTATATTCCAAGTAGACAAAAGTTGAACATGGTTTTAATTCATGTATTCTATAGAGACTCTGGCCCTCCAGAGAACCCAGATTATCCAAAATCATATGGGAACCTGAGTTGTTCCTTTGACCTCTTTGCTTTAAGGAGGAATATTCCTGGAACTGCAAAAGAAACACCAGCTACTCTACAAAAAGCCAACTTCCTTGAACAGGTATTTTGGGAACAAATGATAACAATCTCAGTGTTGGCCCAAGAAGAATAGACAGATGGTCTTAAAAAGAAATATTATCAAGGTCAAAGGAAGAAGAGAAGTGACCTAAGCAATAGTGATGTTATAATTTTGTTCACATGAATTTGTGTGTTGATGTGGGACCATAATAAAGCCCTGGCATTTTGAAAAACTCTTTGCCATTTAGGGGAATAATTGTTAAGTTCTTTAATATTTTCCCTAAACGACTTTAATTTATAACACACACAAAATATGACTAATAACACTTTGATTAAAATGTTCAAACTATTTTGGTTTTCCTAATCATGAAGAAACTCAGCTTTCTCTGGCCAGAAAGGAACTTATTCATTCCAGAGAATTTAGCATCAGGTTCTTTTTAGAGCTTTGCATATTCATGGTACTGAATGACTAAGTTACCTCTGTCCTGGTGGAAATAATTTAGTTTGTAAATGAAGTCATGAAAATTTATAAAGTGTTAATGGGATGCCAATCCACATACATTATATTCTGGTCTGTCTAAAAGGACAGGAAAATTGACCTCCTATATATAAGAATTTGATCAACCTGATTTATTTTGTTTCCAGAAATAATCCAATTTAGATTAATGACTAAATTGCTTTATAAAAAAGTATGACATCTTCTGAATGAAATTTTAATCACAAATGGGGAGTAAATTCAACATTTAAAGAAATCTCAGGTCCTACTGAAGTTGAAGGCTGGTGGTGGTCAGGGAAGAGTTTGATGAAAGCAGAAAAAGGAAAAGGAAGCCCCCTCTGAAAGCCGAGGGAAGATTGGGAAGGCCACATGCTCATTCCTACAAGCTGCTTTAAGGGACCCAGGCCCACAGTCTGTGTGCCCTGTCCTTTCCACTGCTAGGTGAGTGTTAGAATCTCAAATAGCTTGCCTTGACTTAGGAATAACTAAACAGTGTAAGAAAATGGCAGTGCTTCAAAGCAATATTATAAGAAAGGAGCTTTCACATCTCAGTGTGCAAAAAAACACAGAAAAGCAAAAAGCAAAATAAGGATCAGACATGCTAAATCTCCCTGTAATTTAATTGCATGGGGTTTGCAAAAAGAAGACAAAACTCTTTTGTAAAAAAACAAATTAACTTTTACCAAGCACTTCAAAGGTTTTCTTCTCTTAGATTTTCATCACAATTCACTCTGAATATTCTTTTCAGGTTGTTAACAGAAGAGGTCTTGTTTTTGTTCACTACAAAATCACATTCTAATACTGATAGGCTGGCTATGGGTATAGTATTAAGTAACTATTAAGTATACTTTTGGGTACCAACATGCTAGGAAATACAGATAAGAATTAAAGATGGAGTTTTAGAAAAGACAGGCTTTATGTGTACCTATTTCTGTCTTGAGACTTCGGCCAAAAATTAATAGGAAATAGAACAAACTTAAGGATAAGACAGAGGTTAACTTCAAAGAACCTACACATCTCTTCAGGATTCGGCTGGTAATCAAAGCTGAAAGTCAGGGCACATCCCCGCTCTGTCACTTGATAAGGAAAAAAACTCTCAAATAAGTCCACTCCTCTCTCAATACACTCCAGCACCTCATCTGGCCGGCTAACACCACAAATGAGCCTGTAAAAGATAACAGTAAGAACAGTGGCACAAAGAAATGCCAGGAATGAAATCAGAGTCTTTCCAATAGGTAGGGCATTAAAAGGAATGAAAATGAAATAATGAAAAACACCAATCAGGTTACAGTGGCAGACAGTGTATAGCAACGTGGTAGGAAAAAACTTAGGACTTTGAAGGAAGAGACTGGGGCTTAAATCCTAGCTCTATTACTTTTGTGCTGAGTTACTTTGAGCAGGATTCTTAACATCTCTGAGTTTTAGTTTTTTTCATTTTAAAAACAAGAGCAATAATACATGTCTTCACAGAATTGCGAAGATTTTTTTTTTTTTGAATAACACTTGGGATTGCACTTATTGGGCAAGAACTTCACCACTCAAGCCACACCCCCAGCCCTTTTGTTATTTTATTTTTGGGATATGGTCTCTAGCTTTTTACATGGGCTGGCTTTGAACTCTCAATGCTCTTCCCTCTGCCTCCCAAGTAGCTAGGATTACAGAAATGAACCACCATGCTTGCTCGTTGTGAGGATTAATGAGATCTGTGAAAAAGAAATGTCTGACTCCAGAGAGAAGCTCAGTAGTATGCAAATTTCCTTCCTACTCTCCTCCTCTTTGAACAACCTTCCTGGTCTTCATCTAAGCTTTAAAGCCTATCTATGTACTGTACAGATTTTTTAAGGGTGCAAAGCTATGTGCTTTATTTCTCCCTCAAATACTTTCCTCATTTTTACTGTATCTTGCCTGTAATTATTTTTCATAATTGGTTCAATAAAGACATTTTATCTACTATATGTCTCACAAATTCATTTCAACTTCTGATCTCAGAATTTCAGCTCTGTCAACAGGTTATAGGAATCTAGTTATCGATCTTCATATTTTTTGTTAATAAACGTCTACGCTGTGGAATTAAATGGTGTTTTCCCAGGCAAAGGGTAAAGCATTCTGAGAGTGTTACTAGTTCTCAACCAGGTTCTGCCATTAAAACAAATGTGGGAATGTACTTGTGGAACTATTTTTCATGTTTGTTTTTCTACCCACAGCCCCATTTCATGAACTGGAAGAGAAAAGCTTGTGTATGCTCTCATTTCTAAAAGAGGTTAAAAAAAAAAAAAGACTTATGTAATATTAAACAAGCAGAACTCTTAAATATATGCCAGTTTTCCTGACTATAGCTTCCTTCAAGTCCTGCAATGTTTCAGAACTCCACTCCAACTGAAGCTGGCATTTCTACATGCTTACAGAGAGAAAAACAACTCCAGCTTTCAAATTCAGTAACAGACATCTGTGGGCACTTAGCATAAAAAAGTCCAGAAAATGACTAGAAATGCTTGTGCTAAGCTGTTATCTACCCCAGAGTGAAATGAGCACAGGAGGGGAGCAATGAGCACAAGAGAACAAGGTTAAAATTAGGGGCCAAAGGCTAGCTGGAGTGGTAGAAGTACCCTATGGGGGGTGTCCTTCACACAAGTATGTTTAGATATAAAAATTCACTGAGCTGATTCTGATTCATGCACTTTACTGTATGTGTTCTATACCTGGCTTTTAAAAAGTTGTATTATTATACAATAATCAATAGCCTTCAAAGAGTACAACACAACACCCCATTGTCAAACTTCTTAATATATCTTCGGGAGGGAAAAAGCATGAATATTCACACTGAGTAGGATAAAAGGCTACAAAATCAGCTGGGCACGGTGATGAATGCTTGCAACCCCAGCCCTTGGGAGGCTGAGGCAAGAGAACAGCAAGCTTGAGGCCAGCCTGGGCTACACATAGTGAGACCCTGTCTTAAAAAAAAAAAAAAAAAAGGCAAAATATATATATATTTTTTAAAACTGACAGACAGCTGATGGAGTGGCTCAAGCAGTAAGAGTGCCTGCCCAGCAAACATGAGGCCCTGAGTTCAAACCCCAGTGCTGCCAAAAAAAAAAAAACCCTGACAGATTCAAAAAAAAAAAAAAAAATCTGACAAATAGCAGATTGGTTCATGCCTTATAATCCCAGCTACCTGGGAGGCAGCGATCAGGAGGATCATGGTTTGAAGCCAGCTCAGACACACAGTTAGTAAGAGCAATACAAAGCTGGAAATGGTGGCACACACCTGTCACCCCAGCTACGAGGAGGTATAAATGGGAGGATCATAGTCCAGGCCAGCCTGCGCAGAAAAGCAAGGCCCTGTTCAAAAAATAGCTAAAGTCAAAAAGGCTGGGGTTATGGCTCAAGTGGGATAGTGTCTGCCTAGCAAGTGCAAGGCCCTGAGTTCAAACCCCAGTATTAAAGAAAAAGAACATAAAATTTTATGTATTTGTCAAGTACAATGTACTTTTGATGTATACAACGTGAAATATTAAATTTAGTCAATTAACAAGTATATTAGCTCACATAATTATTTTTTAAAGAGAGAACACTTACTAACCATTTTCTTTGTACTTTTCAAGAATATATCATAATCTATGCTCACCAGGCTGTGCAACAGATTTTGGTGAACTTTCTCCTATCTCAATGTAATTATGAGTAACGTCTTCCCAACCCTCTTTTCCCCCCAACAACCCTAGCTGCTGATAACTTCTATGAGATCACCTTTTTTAGATTCCATATAAAGGAGAATCATGCAGTATTTATCTTTCTGTACTGGGCTTATTTCATTTAATATAATGACCTCCAGGTCATTAAAAAAAAAAGAAAGAGAAAAATAATTTAGGTAGCCTAATACGACATCAGCTGCTCAGAAGCTTGGAATTTATAACTTTGAACCTCAGAAGTACACAGTGAATCCTGTGACTTACAGAAACCTAAGAACCAACTCTACTAGTGTTGCCAGTCCCCTCAGCTTAAAAAAAAGACACTGCTCGCTACTTGTCTCAAATGTAGGAACTTCCTAAAGGTTATTAGTAGGGCCCATTATCATTCCATTGGGCATCCTAGATTTGCCCTCAGCTTTCTTGGTTTTAAACTGGAGTTTCACATGACTTTTTATACTTGCCCCGAGCTATCATGTTATAATGAATAAAAAAACAATATTTGTATCTGGGACAAGAATGAGAGAAACTGTTAACACTTGACCTAACTTACAAGGATAATTCACATGGCAATTACCCTCTGCTCTACATTCTGCAATCAGGACAGGGCGGCCTTGATGAAAACTTCCCTCATATTCTGCTGGGATAGGACATAATTAAAACATGGATCCTACACAGTCCGCCAGCACTCCTGTCCTGCATCCTAACTGATTACTAACCTTGGTTTGTCCTCTGGCAGCTCTGCAGTGACTGATGATAGCAAGTGCAGTCTGGTTTCCAGAGTTGTTAGATTTCCTTGAAAGCCATCCAGAAGGAAGCCTCCCACAGGCCGCTTGGCTGTCTCTCGTGCTGATCTCAGCCTCTCTTCTATCACATTTCCACCTTCAATTACTCCAATGATCATGCTTTTCTGAAGGATCTGAGGGTAAAAAAAAAAAAAAAGATTGAATGTTCTTAACCATTTTAAGCATCAAAGACCTTTGTTTACACTAGCCTTACACGGAAGTTCAATGGACAGAAAAGATCTCATGAAGTTGCTACAGATGAAATATTTAAGCAGGATGATATTCCCCATGAACCTTCATGGATCAAGGGCATACACTATTGAAAACACCAAACAGGTAAGGAAAGACTGAGGAAAAATAGATAATCAACATATGTTGTCATGTTCTAGTTTAGATTAAATTAAAGGTACCCTGAGCAGGCATAAGAACAAATAGACAAAAGGAAAAGCTTTAATTAAAATGACTATCCAGGGCTGCTTTAGGCTTCTTCCACCCTTTTAACTACAGATCCAAGTTTAGGAACTTAGAAACAGTTTAGTTGAGACAACTGACCATGATTTGGAAAAGAACAACAAAAATTTACTACTCCACACCATTCTTAAAAACAAATTCAATGGGACAAATATCTCAACATAAAACTTACAGGAAACAGCCAACATTAAAACTTCTCTAGTGAAATATACCATAACAAAGGAAAAGAAAAACTTACCCTTTGAGGGAATAGATAAATATCTACACCATAGAAAGAGTTACAACATATCCTCTAAGGAAACAACTCCACAGAAATCTAGGTACAATATGTGAAAATGAAATTCAGAAAAATAAATGTGAATGCCCCATACAAATATGGAGAGTTACTAAATCTCACCAGTAAGGAAATGCAAATTAGAAAAAAAGAGATGCCATTTTTGCCTACTACAGTAATAAAAAAACCACAGATAACATAGTGGAGGTGAGCGTGTATGGGAAATGACCCTGATACACCCTGACAATTACAGAGTGAAAGAAGTTCAGCTTCTGAGGAGGGCAAGCAGGTAACACCAAAATGTCAATGCTTTTACCTCCGAGTTCCAAAATTCCACTTCCAAATCTCTCTTGTAAATATATCCATTCATATGCACCAAAGTATACTTACTTACAAAGATGTTCAGAATAACGAAAACTGGAAAGTGTAAAAATTCACCAATAAAGACTGAAATAAACGATGACACATTCATAGTATGGCTCCCGATGCAGTTGTTTTAAACAGAATGAAGTAGATGTCCTAATATATGCATCGTCAGGGAGAGTTTCAAGACACAGTTAATGTAAAACAAGCAAATTGCTGAACATGTGATCATATTCATGTATAATAGGCATACATGTCTACGTATTAATTAGATGCCAAGTAACTACAAGAAATAAGGTTTGAAAAGACATAGACAAATCAAAAATGGCTCTCTGGAGAAACAGGGATGGGGAAGAAATATGGAATATTGTGAAAAGGGATTTTCACTTCTTAAGCAGGATGATCAGAATCTACCCATTTGTCTAGGAAATATATTTTGGCTACGATGTGAAGAATAAATTAAGGGTGAGCCTGGCTAAGGATGGGGTAGGAGACAATAGTACTAATGGAAGTGAAAGACCAGATGACTTGGATTAAAGTCATCTCAGGACGAAGGATCAACATAACTTGAATAGTTTTCTGAGTAAAGGATGACTACTGGTTTCTGTTTTGGTAGTCCAGGGATATAAGATGGGGAATAATTCTAGAAAAACAGTACTGGTGAGGCAAGATGACTGCATGCTAAATCTGAGGTATCAGTGGGATGTACAAATGCCAATATTTACTCAGCCATTGAATAGATGAAGTTTAAGTTATGGATATATGTGATACAGATGAGAGTACCCAGGTTAGAATGGCAGATGCTTGGCAGGATGCCACCACTTCCCTCTCCTGCTTCCACAGGAGCCATGGCTAATGAAAAAGTGCTCTTCCTGCAGCACCTGATGTGTCTCCAAGGACCTTGAATGAAACCCATTTGGCATTCCTGACTAGGAAAATATGGAGAAGAAAATAAAGCCAAAATCAGAACCTTGGGGAACTTCAATATTGAAGGGCATTCAGAATAAAGAGGATCTAGTGAATAAGAGGAAGGAATCACAGAAAAAGGAAACGAAGTATGCAGTATTTAAAGCAGAAAATCACTCATGACTAGCATAACCCTATTTGGGAAATTCCCTTCATGAATATAAGAAATATGGTCATATAAATCATGATATAAAATGGAACACTTAAGAATAAAAGGGACGCTATTAGTAATGCTATCAAGGCAACAGCATAAGCATAGGGAATATGGAAAGGGATCCCAGCATTTGACTAATACACAGAAGTAAGGTGAAATGGTAAGGCCAATGGCAACAGCATAGATAAGGGACTTGAGGCTCATGCGACCTTTCTAATAATCATTTTTGTAACATCCCTTGTCCTGCTTTCTATTTATCAAAACATTACTAGTCCTGCAAGGATAATAACTGGCTCAAAGCAATTACTAGCAAGTCAACACTTACTACCCAGACACACAGCAACATACTCATACTGGATTCCTACTGCAGATACTCTTGTTCTATTCAGAATGACAATGAAGTTTCTTTATTTTATGTACACCAAGTTTATTAGCCAAGTTATATTTTTATTGCTAAGTTCAAAACAAAATATTCTTCAAACTTAACATGCTTTGGCATGGCAAATCACTGCTCAGGATTACTCCACATAAATAATCTCAAATACTGAAGTTCTTCCCTCTGGTTACTATCTTGTATTCCCTTATGTCCTCTGCTCTCTCCTAGTAAATACCATTTTCCAACTTCATTAATTCTGTTCTCAGGTTCCCTTACTGCAATCCTTACTCCATCATAACTATTTAGCATCAGCAAACATTTACTGGCTTATAATGTGTCAGGCATCTCAGTCCATGAAGATAATATAAAAATGGCATGCAAAAATTGAGCTTAAGTAAGTCACAGTTTAATAAAGATAAATACGTAAAGAAATCACTGCAATACAATATGATTGGGGCCTCAATATAGCTACATACAAATTAAAGGGGTAACAAAGCATAAAGGGAACTTTCTGAAAGCGTCAGGGACTGGCTTCATAGAATGATGAATGAATGAAATGAACCTGATGGAAGCAAGAAAGGAACATGACTGTAGATAAGAAAAGAAGAAACAGTCCAGAAGAATGCCTGGGCAAAGAAGTCCCAGAAAGGAACAGGTGAATGCCTCAAGAACCTGCCAATAATTTAGAAAGGCCAGAGTGTATGCCACAGGAAAAAGTAGCCCCCAATGAGCTGAAGAAATGGCAGAGGCCAGGTCAAAGCAGGCTGTCCATGCCAAGTAAGAGTTGAAATAGAGTCTTTAAATTCTTTAGGAAAATGAGCAATGGGCTCACATTTTTTCTTTACAATGATTTCCTGGAAACCAGAGCTGAAGATGGACTGGACAAAAATGAGAATGGAGGTGGAAAGACTGATTCAAAGGTAACTACCTACACAGGACATGATGAGGTCATGGCTTAAGGTGGGATAGGAAGAGCGGGAAGAAGGCAAATTCTAAGCATATTTAGAGACAATTGGATATTAAATTTGCTTGAGAAAAAAAAGGTGGATATCATGAATTGAAATAAAATATTGAGGAAAAATGGGTTTGAGGAAATAAGAAAAAAAGTCAAAAATAAAAAGAAAAGAAAGGTAGTCTGGTTACCTCCAAGTTTGATGGACATTCTAGTGATGCAACCATTAGCTATAATTCTGAGTTAAGTAGAATGATCTTGATAGTATATATGGTTTTAGAATTATTCAGCAATTAAAACAAAGGAAGGCTGCTTAGAGGCAACATATAAAATGTGATGAAAAGAGAGTCTAAGATAGAATCCTAGCAAGTAATTCTTAGGGTTCAGACAAGAAAAACAGGAAAGCACCATTTGTTGAAGAGACTATTGCATATTCTTAAGATTCCATGGGGGTATTTCTTTTTTTTTGTTTTTTCCATGGGGGTATTTCTCTATTCTGTTCCATTGTTCTGTATGCCACTATCATGTTGTTCTGATTAGTATTGTTTTGGAGTAGATTTTCAGATCAGATGATATAATGCCCCAGTTTTGTTCTTATTTGCTTAAGATTGCTTTTGGCAAGTAAAAAAAACCAAGAAGCAAGGAGCACAGAAATAGAAAAGGTGTATCATGGAGAGAAAGAGTGGTGAGTGTCAAGTGAAAAGAGTGGTTAGTCAGGCAGCCTCACCTCTGACTCTTCCTGTAGCTGCAGACAGTTGTCCAAGAATAGAAGTGATCGGTCTACAGCCTTCCTGGCCCTTTTCATGGAAGTTGCTTCCTCACAAAATGCCTCTCCATCTGAGAGGCACTGGAACCAGTCTGGCTGAAGGGCCTGCTGAATTGCCATGAACTTGGAAACGGTCATTTCTACTCGTCCTCCAACACCCCACACAGATACTGACTGCCATGGAGCAAGAAGATGAGGAATTATCAAGAGGAAAACTCAAATAAAAGGAAAGTAATACAATGATAAAGCAAAATTCTTTATAACTGGATGTCTTAACATCCTAGACATGGTAAAACAAAAAAAATTGTACTATATTCCAAATTCTTTAGAGATCTTATAACCCAAAGAGAATTCTTCAATGGTCATGCAAGCCAACTTCTGAACTAGCCTCCAATGAATTATTTATTATACTTTTCTGGCACAATCTTTCAATGCCCCTCATTCCATCTTCCCTACTGTACGCACATGCTTACTGTTCCTAAGTAAACCACAACCTTTGATTCTTCTCTGCCTTTGATATCATTGTACCCTCTGACTGGAATGCCTTTCTCCTGCTTTGCCCAGCAATACACTATGCATCCTTTAAGAAGCTGAATTTAAATGTCATGTACTCTATGTGTTCCTCCAAACTTTCCTGGGTATAATCGATTGCTCACTTCTTTTAAGCTCTTAGAGCAATTTGTATATTTTTACTCATATTTCTTTTATCACATCATTGTATATTTGTTTGACTAGAGCATCCCAATTTACGACTGTACCCCAAAAGCAGTCTATTGCCCTATACACTGCATTTAATAAGCAGTTACTAGATTGAGGTAGATACAGATGATGTGCAAAGACATCAATCCCTAGTTTGTGAGACTTGGTATTTAATATTCCATCTTTGGTTACTCCTTCCCTAAACTATCTCTGTTCTTAGAAGAAATCACCAAGGACATAGATGGAGAGGCCACATGTAGTCTTTTTAGTCTGTACTAAGACATAAGAACGCTGTTTAAATGAATACTCTTCCCCTGTCAAACGGGGTACATAACTGACTGAGGTCAAAATACTTCTTCTGACTTCAAATTGTAAAATAAAAAGCTTAACACTGAAAAATAATGGAAAATAATACTTGTAGGTAATGACTAATAGCTACTGTCAACTTCAATAAAGTGAGTGCAAGGAACACACTGAAGCCCTGCCTGATACTGTCCAGATGGGATGAATAGTTTTAAAGAAGTCTTTTGCTACCATCCTTTACTATCTACAACCTCTGGCTGCAGATCCAGCTTTTTTTCAAATTCTACCAGCAAGCAGTATTATACTGAGGTTCTACTATATTTAGTTATGCATGTGGTAACACTCATCAGCAACTTTTTCCACTCTTCCTGAAGCTGTTAAAACTGCAAATAAAGCATAGCATCAAAAGATTATTGTCTTCTCCCCTCATAGCAATTTCTTTTTCTGGCATGTACTTGACCCTCCTCCACCCTAAGATTTTTTGCAATAATAAAACTGCTGAGGATATATTCCTCACCTTAACTCATCCTTGAGTAGTCTATTTACTTTTATAAACCATCTCATCCATTAACATCATCAAAATAAACAGAAGACATAAAGGAATCATCACAGACAGAGGGAGCATAGCATTTGAAGGACATGATAAGCTGACTTCCTAGGACAAAGGGGCAGTCTATGAAGCCCTTCTGAAAACACACCTTGTTTGTTACATAACCAGCTGGGCAGGGGCTGACTGGATCGTGCAGGGAACAGTATAACAGTGATTCTGGCATGCCTGTATAAACACAAAAAAAAGACCCACTGAAAGTGCTTCCATCAACAATTACATTGTGTTGTAACAGGGAACAGCTTCACAATGTGTACAAGTGGATAAAGTAAACTCCAATCACAGTAAATACTTGGCACCTTATTTTGGAATTATAGAAATCTACTAACAAGAATGAAAAGATTACTATGAAATCTACTAATATAAAAGAAGACTTGTATGTGATGGTTTAGTGTATAATGATGTAATGAGTTGCTACAAAGGAAAGATATATGTTAAAGTATGAGATACAATGGAAATATTTAGTGACATAATGACCCCACTCCACTTTATTTAAGGAATTTAATATCAAGTATGCTTATTCTAGAGCCATCCAAAAGGAAGTAGCTACTAGAAAAATGAAATGATATAGTCAGAAAGTAATCTCACTAACAATAAATCTCATTAATAATAGTGATGTGTCCTTCGGGGCAGCTTCTACATGAAAGCTGTGGGTACTGCAAATGGATCTCATTCTCAGTATGTTTTATTGACTCAAGATGACAGTTTCTCTGTACAAGGAATGGAAGGAGGGATAATAAAGTGAATTCGACTACGATATATTATAAGAACTTTGGTAAATATTACAATATACCCCTAGTACAATAATAGTAATTTTAAAAAATGAATTTCTTAGGTTCCTTAGTCAAAGACAGTTGCTGAAAAAAAAAAAATCCACAAAATGAGTAGCAAACCACAGGTGCTTAAGCTTCATGTGCTTCCCCACATTTTCCTTAAGGGAAAAAAACAAAATAAAACAGTATTCCACTGAAAAGAGACAAAAATAAATAAAGCAAATTAAAAAAAACTCTTGTAGTTTTTCACCTTATTTTCTTCAATTTCAATTATGACAATTATTTTTAGAGAGTGTGTACTAGGTATGTTCACTTAAAATTATATGCTTGTATACCTTAAAACTGGTGATTAAAGTTGGCCTCAGGTCAAGGAGAATAATATTATATAAGTTCCTCTGCTGA